AAATTCAGAGTACACAAGGCACGAGGCCAAGAACTGATCCCGAATGCCCCCAATCTCCAGCTGGTCCTCCATTAAAGACACACTTGACACTTTACTAGGAATATTTTGCAGTCTTTTTTATTGATATCTTTTTTTCAGGGAAGACTTTGCTCATGTTATGAAAAAGATGCCAAACTATGTGATGTTGTTGTTATAACACTATGTTGTGTTATAACACCTGGTTGGTGCAGTAAGAAGTGACAAACAGAAAGCAGCTGAGCAGCTGAACTGCTGTATTAAGCAATTATCTTTCACTTAAAACAAAAGGTGAAGCACTACAGTAACAAAAGTGCTCTTGACTCAGATTTTTTGATTTTTTGATGTACTGTTTTCATTTATTCAATTGTTTATATATGAAATAGTTAAATGCATCAACTACAAATGTAGGTTGCATGGTTTGTGTTGTGTGTCCTGACCTTAACTAAGTTTTTTTTTGGATCCAAGATTTCCCATTATGTGTACACATGCTGTCACATGTTACACGAAAAACAAAGTCATTGTGAAACCAAGACAAAGTACAAACATTCGCTTCATCATTTCCCAAAAGCACCGGGCTTGCTTGTTGACACATTGATTCAAGTATTGATTAAACACTCCGTCGTGCCTCAAGCTCTCTCTGGCTTTGAGTTTGTTTTATGAAAAACATTTAAGAGATTATGTTTTGAAAATGTGATTTTTTGTCTTCTTTTTAATTTACATGCCACACAGACTAACTGGGCAGTTTTACAGTGTGAATACTGGACACATCAGTTACTCCAGGGAATAAACCCTGAGGCACTATTATTTTCCCTTTAGTGCCCTCAATTTGAAAAGCCTTAGTTCTGTAAGGGCCTTCAGAAATGACAGTATCTGCAGGAGCTTCCAGCTGAAGCTTCACACTTTCAGACACCTGAAAGTGGTTTAAATAAAAGCTTTGTAACATCCATTAACTAGAAAATGTTTTCTCACATGGGAAGAAAGGCTTTTTGAACATTCATTTGCATGAAACTCACAGCTGCATTGCAATTCCCTTATTTTTGACCCACTTGTATTGTAGCATTTTTTGTTACTAAAATTGAATCTTGTGGATTCCACATGCAGCTAGCATGTTATTGTAAATGTCATAATCTGTATTTCTTACGTAGTTTTTTACACTGCACAATGAGTCGCATTAGATTATTAACATGTAATTACATTAAGTGAGTGTATAAATATTGGTAAATATACTGTACAAGGGAATAGATATTAGGACATCAGTTTTAATGTCAGGGTAGTAGTAGAGTTTGGTGTCATTCTTTCTGTGTTGGTGCTGACCTGAGTTAGGGCGACTCTAAATGAGGATGGGTGGGTGGGTGGGTTTTTGTTTGCTTCTTATGTTATTGTTTGTTTTCTATCTTTTATTACACTTCTTAAAACAGCAAAGTGCCAATTATTACTGTGAAACACCTCCATCAGTAATTTCAAAGAAAGATTTAAAATGTTTTTCAGCTCTTTACAAACCCAATTCAAAAAGAATTGTGAAGCTGTCCAAAGCGCTGAAGACAGAATGACTGGCATATCTCATAAACCCGAATCTTATTTACATAGAAAATAAAAAAACATGCCACATGTTTAACTTTATAGGCTCCAACCCCGTGAGACCCTAATAAGGATAAACAGAAGATAATGGATGGATGTTTAACTCTTTCACGCCTAGTGTATTGTATTTAATACATGCAGTTTTTTGTGAATTTTTGAGACTTCTACATCATCAGTGTGATTTGTTTCCCGTTTTAAAGCATAAATAAATTTTGCAATACTTTTTAAAGCATTTTTTAAAGGCCAGATGTAGCAAATATGACGCAAATTACAACTACTATAAGGGGGGAAATATCTAAATAACTTTATAAACAAATCTTTCAGCTGGTTCAATGAACTCTCCATTAAAAAAATAGAATTTTGTGGCAATTATTCAGGCTTTAAATAATGTTGAACAATGAATTGTAAATCTGGCATGTTTAATTCGAATAAGACTTGGATAACAGTAGGTGGCAGAAATATGTGTCTGACCGGCTAAACTCAAAGAAGAAGAAGAAGAAGAAGAAGAAGAGAGGCGTAGAAGAAGACAAGGCGGAAATGACATCCAAGCGGAAGTTATCGCCAATGAGACAACAACGCGCCAAATTTGTGAAAAATCTTCGGAAGTCAGTGCAGCAGGATGAAGACGTGCGTCTGAGCTATAAGGATAGCTACATGTGGCAGTCGCTGCTGTGTGAAAAGGCTGAGCAGGTAGGTTATTTTGTCATATTTTCGTATTTTAGTTTTCTTAGCGGTTTTCTTTTGAGCATCATGAGATTTGACAGAACTCTGTCAAAGTACTGTCAAAGTTAACAGTTTTGTAAACTGGTAAATGCTTAACAGACACTTGTTAGAAGAAATAGGACCCATGTTATGAAAAAATGAATACATAAGTAAATATTAGAAAGCGAAAGTGATGAATGCGTGTGTTTCTGTCTCTAGCATGGCGGTGCCTTTTGTGCAGGACTGGGACGTTGTTCAGACTCTGGGAGAAGGAGCCTACGGAGAGTATGAAAGCTTCCTTATCATTGTTTGTCATTAGCTTATCGCCTTTAATAGCTGTCCTCTTCTAGCCATCGCACAAGGTTTTTTTTCCTTGTTTCATGGGATTATGACAGACATGTATATGCACTAGAAATGTTCATCTGATAATCCAAAAACATCACTCACAGGAGACACCTAACTCCATCACAGTCACAGTTAGCCTTGAAAAAAAGAAAGATGAACCAGGTATCAAAATGTAGGTAAAAATGAGACCTTACATGTGCTAAAACACGTTTAATGTAGTGTTGATCTGAAAGTTTAACCATTTTTACCAGAACAATTCCATGTTTTTTGCCATGGAATTGTTAGAAAACAAATCAAACAGTCAGGGTAGCAATGACTGCTTCTATCATTCTTAAATTATGGCATTATGCCACCATTAAATGAGGTGTCCAGAGATACCAATGCGCAAAGTTTGTTATAGAAGAAAACTACTGCACAAAAATAACCTTTTAACTTTAGATTGACTCTTTGAGTGGGTTTAAAATGATCTTAAATATTTCTGTTTGTTTTTCTTGTTTTCTAGAGATCAAAGTCAAGTTTATTTATATAGCACATTTTCAATATTGCATGCTGCACAAAGTACTTAACAATCTAAAATGCAACTAAAATAAATAAAATGCACAACAGTGATGCAGTAAAATATAGAAGGGGAAAAATAAACAAAATATAAACAACTAAAACAGACAGACTTTGACATCTGACCTTCTGATTTTATTGAAAAGTTTAACAAAGTTTAAATTACTTGAAAATTATATCTAGAAACACTTTAGGAAGACTTTAGCTCTTTGTGCATCCTGTTTCCATTCAGACTTCCTCTCACTTCTCTTCACCTCCGTGTTCTCTTTTCTCTTTATGATCTAACCGGTTTTTCCTCTTTGTGTTCTTGGTCTCAGAGTGAGGCTGCTGGTGAACAGACAGACCGAAGAGGCGGTAGCAGTGAAGGTCATCGATACCTCGCAGGCAAAAGAGTGTGCTGAAAATGTCAAGAAGGAGGTCTGCATCCACAAGGTACATCCATCACCTTCACCTGCACAGTTAGTATGAATGAAAGCAGCGGCTCACCAGTGGTGTGTTGTAAAACAAGTCCAGCTGTTCTTGAATCCATATATTAATACAGTAAACAGCTGCATGAAATAAATTGTTAATTAACTAAATCACAGCTTTGTATGCTCTCATTTCCCTTTTCCTTGCATCAGTTAAAAAAAACCCACAGCCTGTTCATGCCAGTCCCAGACTGTAAGAATTAGATAAAAAACTGTTACGGTTCTGAAAACCAACTCTAGCCTCAGCAGATCTGGGGACGTTGGTAGCCCTCAGCTCGAGGGTGTCATTTGTTGGGAAAAGTTTGTTAAAGCTAATGCTATTCCAGGCAAGCTGAAAGCAAACATGCAGATGTACAGATGTGTCTGCTTTTTTGGCTCACCTAAAATGATGTGACATGATGACAGAAGATCCAAAAACTAGCTGAACAGACACCGAAGAGGCAAACTGAAAGCAAACATGTATGAAGTCGTACTTCATACTAAAGTAAAATATAAAGAACTGGCATTTGTTATTAATGTTGGTGAGATTCATAAAGATAAACTGGCTGAGACTGACCAGTTTGTTGCTCTAGTTTACAGGTACAAACTGATTGTAAGCAATTTAACACAGACTGAAGTTGGATTTATTTTTATATTTGTAGAATTAATTAAAAACATTAAGCTCTTAGCTAAGTAGAATGATAGCTGAGAGCACTGTTTTGAGGATCTTTGTGTGTGCACTTAACTCATAGATGCTCAAACACACCAACATTGTACGCTTCTTTGGCCATCGGAAGGAAGGACCGACTGTGTACCTTTTCCTGGAGTACTGCAGCGGGGGAGAGCTGTTTGACCGAATCGGTGAGCCGCAAACACACATTTGACAAGAAAAACCTTTTGTTTGCTGATTTATTCTTCCAACTGTAACTTTCCTGACTCAGATATGATTAGCATGAATACATGAATTCAACTTAGCTGAAATGCGTCTGGAGTCTTCAGTAATTATTCTTTGCAAATATTTGATTTCAGGCTTACTCTCTTTCTTCTTTTACGCTCTCTTTAGAGCCTGATGTAGGGATGGCTGAAAAGGATGCTCATAGATTTTTCCAGCAGCTAATAGCAGCTGTGGTGAGTGAAGAACATCTTTGTGTTTATGTGACTTCCTGCATATTTTCCTGCTGTTATTCTCTTTTTAAGTTTTTTTTTTTTATTTGACCTTTTCTAGGAGTACCTCCATGATTTTGGCATCACACATAGAGACATAAAGCCAGAGAACATTTTGCTGGATGACAAAGGTGAGGAAATGTAATCTTTATTGAGGGATTCTCTTTTTAGGATTCTCTTTTATTTCTTATAACCACTGCCCTCTGGGGTTGATTTTTTTTATTTTATTTTTTTACCTTCAGATAACCTGAAGCTGACAGATTTTGGCCTGGCAACCATGTTTCGCTTTAAAGGCCGAGAGCGTCTTCTGAATCGATTGTGTGGGACTCTTCCCTACGTGGCTCCGGAGCTTCTGAGCCAAACAGAGTACAGAGCTCAGCCTGCAGATATCTGGGCTTGTGGCATAGTCCTCACTGCCATGCTGGCTGGTGGTAAGATCCAAAATTTGAAGATCATACAAACATCTGTAATCCAATACCATATGACAGCATTGGCAACGAGAAGTTGATGATATCACAAAGCTGTTAGGTCAGCAGGGCCAGTGTCAAAGCTGCAAGTGGTTGTTGTGCTATGTGAATTTGCATTTGATTGAATTACTGATTTTACTAAATGAAATAGCTGATTTTTCATCATGTTTACTGTCTTATAACTTGCTGTCATATTTCTGCTTGATGTCAGACAGGACCATCCTCAGTCTTCGTCTCCATCTTCAGTCTGACATTGTCTGAACTTTACAGTCGAGCAGATTCAGTTTTCAATCTTTACAGCCTGACCTGTTTACCTGAATATCATCTTATTTTAAGTCAGTGAAGTACAAACAAGCTAGGAGATCACATGGTAATAGAAATAAAAGAAGAAATACTTTATTTATCTCTTATATATGAAATTCTTTGGTTATAGCGGTTGGAATTTTTATAATAGAAGTGTAAACAGTCAGTGTATATATTTAAAAAAACAACAACAAAACATTAAAGCCTTAATCTGTTTCATTTGATGGATTTCCTGACTGTGCCCTTCTGGTGATGTTGAGAGTACGTACAGGTCCACATGGTTCTCACTGTTGTACACGGTGCCATTTAAGTTCTTTCACTCTGCCCATAAAAATCTAAACGCTTACTGGATTTAAGTTTGGCCTCTGTTCAGCAGTTTTTGACTTTTTTTTTTTTTTCTTCTTTTCCCCATCAAAGCTCTGACCCGTCTCTGATTTCACCATGAATGTCAAACTTGTTTAAAGATTAACTTCTATGTTTAACTGCCCCAACCTCCACATTGCAAATCAGCACTGCTACTGAGGTTGCAGTAGTACCAGTCCATCTCTCTGACAAGGAGTTGTGCGCTAGAAAAGTTGTTTACCCCAGGAGGGTGAAACTTTTAGTCCAGAGTGCTGGTATGGAGTTGACACACAGTGTATTGAAAACATGTTTTGTTTTTTGTTTTTGTTGTTGAACATGACAAACATTGAGGCAAAAATTCAAGTTGCCTTTTAGAACCAATGGAAGAGACTGAGATGCTTGAGCTTTGCACCGTGAGAGGGCACATTACTTTAGCAGTGACACCCACCAGGAGGGACGTGAAGGGGAAAAGACTAAATTTAACATAAGTATTTCTAAGGTGAAAGCTGTGTACGTTGTCTTGAAACTTTGTCACTACATGTTTGTGACAAAGTTTCTAGTCGATGGACGCTGGCAAGTTACAGTTTTATAGATATATTTATATCACATACAGATATAGATATCTGTGTTTATACGCTTAAGAGTTGGTTGTAAACTTAACCAAATTATAGACACAAGGTGATTTAGTTATCTTGAAATACAATCACATCACTGCAATGGTAAAAAAACAAAACAATACAAGCTTATTTTAGATTGAGGTCTGTTTAAAAATTCAGTTTATTTATTGTATACAGTTCTGAAAGATCAGACAGCATGTCTTACATCATCAGAAAAAATGCAAACTCTACTTCCCTGAGGTCGTGCATCATTGAAGTCCATGCAGTTAATGTGAGGAAACCTTTTTGTTGTTTCCTTGTTAGAGTTGCCGTGGGACCAGCCAACTGAGAGCTGTCAGGAGTACGCAGACTGGCTTCAGAAGAAAACATATCTACCTCCTTGGAAGAAAATACAACCACTGCCTCTTAGTGAGTGTCAAGCTATTGTAAGTTTAGTTACTGCATGTTTTACATGTTGTTCTTTGGTTCATGTGTAACTTCTTTAAATTCAGGTTTGTTATCCAAATTGCTGCTGGCCAGTCCAGATGCACGCATCTCCATCACAGACATCCAGAAAGACCGCTGGTTTACTGAAGGCAAGTCCCAGCAACAGGTTTAGTTTAGCTTCAGTGTTCACTGTACTCATACTTGTCTTTCTGTCTCTGTAGGAGTGAAGCAGCCAACAAGTTTTCTGCACTCAGGAGGGAACAACAGTCTTCGATCTGATGGGTCACTCATATCTCGGGCCAACAGGTCAGAACTTTGCGCTTTTCTCATTTTAGCTCAGTTTCTTTTTGTGTCTGATAATCTTAAGAATGTCTTTCTCTTTCTGTAGTGACGACAGGATGCAGTTTTCCAGCTCTCAGCCTGACTTTGCAGCCGGTGGCTGGGAAGCCATGTTGTTAATTAGTCAAAATGACGGTCAAGTCAGCTTCTCCCAGCCGACCAAACCTGAGCACATGTTACTGGGTAGTCAGTTACTAGGTACACCGGGAGCCAGTCAGGTAATTCACATACTCAGTGCTGGATTAGTTTCACTACGTAAATGTTTATATGTGTATTTATTGTCATTGAAGCACACGAAGACGGAGATTATTCTTTTTCTTTTTTTACCTTTTTTCCAATGTTTCTTTTGATTTAAAGGCATCTGAATATCAACAAAACTCTGATGCATTATTGCTGTGAGCTATTTAACATGTCCTCATTTCTTCTTTCTGTGCACAGTCGCCGTGGCAGAGGTTAGTGCGGAGAATGACGCGTTTCTTCACTACTGTCAGTGCTGATGCCTCCTTAACTGCCCTGAAAGACATCTGTGAAGCCCTGGCACTTGGCTTCAAACTCACTAGCACCAAACAGGTATATCTATACTCAAATATACAAGATTTTTATATTTCCTGATAACACAGCCTTGTGATAAAGTATGTTATCTCATCATAACATACTTTTATTTTTTATAACACACATTTTAGGTGACCGTGAGCACGCTTGACAAACGCAATAATAAGCTCATCTTTAAAATTCATTTGTTTGATATGAATCAGAGAGTGCTGCTGGACTTCAGACTGTCTAAGGTAGGTTTTACCATTTTAAAAATGAATTGTATATTATTTCTAACACAATTTATCCCCTGCCTTCTGCACGTTCGGACATCTTAACCACTAAAGCTTGCAGTCCATGCAGTCGTGTGAAAAATGAAATTCAGATTCAGTAGCTACATCAGTGTCTCACATCATTGTGGAGGAATTTTGGCCCACTCTTCTTTACAGTACTGCTTCACTTTATTGAGGTTTGTTTATACATAGTTCTCTTAAGGTCCCACCACAGCAATTCAGTCACGTTGAGGTCTGGACTTTGAGTGGAGCATTGCAAAACCTCTGTGATAAATGTGCTACTGTGCTTGGGATCGTTGTCCTGTTGCATGACCCAGTTTTGGCCAAGCTTAAGCTGTTGGCCAGATGGCCTCAGATCTGTCTCTAGAATACTTTGATATACACAGAAACCTCAGTGACCGCAAGGTGCCTGGGTCCTGTGGCTGCAGAACAAGCCTTAATCTTGACACCGCCACCACTGTGCTTGACACGTGGTCCTGTGTATTATAGTTAAACATAATTACCTTTGTCTCATCTGTCCAAAGAATTCTTCCAGAAGTCTTGTGGTGTATTTAGATGCGACTTTGAAAACCTAAGCTGTGCTGCCTGTTCTTTTTTTTTTTTAGAAAAAAAGGCAGCCTTTCTAAACAAGCCCTACTTGTTCAGTCTGTTTCAACTAGACCTTTTTCTAAATGATTGCTTAATATTTAGCATGCAAACTGAGTCCTGTAGAGTCTGAGATGTAGCTCTTGGGGCTTTGGCACTTGCAGTAAGGATGTAGTTTGTGTTTTGCAGGACTGCATGGAGTCCTTTTGAAAGCTTTCTAATCCATATGACTTTACAACAAACATTGTGACTTGTGCTTTTGAACTTGGACAATGGAAGACATGAAGATCATTTTCAGTCTTTTCCCCAGACTGGTGGAAAGTTGGTTTCAGCTGTCTGTAAATAAGGATTATTAAACTGGCTGAACCAATAAACTTACTTGAAAACCTTTACATGGATTATTATTATTATTATTATTATTATTATTATTATTATTATTATCATCATCATCAGAGCACTTAGACACACTGCTTATATTGTTTGTCTGAGTGGAACATGTTAGTGTATATTACCTCTAATATTCATCCATTTGTGTCTGTAAAACAATATTGTTTTTAATGATACCCGTAGGTAAACAGATGTAGGCATATAGGGCTTAGATTGTAGCCTATATTCATGTAAAATATCTGTAAACTTAACTCTATCTATATAGATGTATGCACGCAGTCATCCTTATAGGTCAGTTGGTTTCACTCATGTTTGTTTAAACTACTGAAAGACAAACTGTAGCAGAATTGATACAGAGAAACTCACTGGTCTGAGTCACCTAATGAACAGGTCTAAGAGTACAATGTCCTCAGTGTATGAGTGCACTTTCATCTAATCAAGACGGTCGTGTGTGTGTGTGTGTTTCCAGGGCGATGGTTTGGAGTTCAAGCGTCTCTTTGTGAAGATCAAACACAAGCTCGGTGACATAATCAGCACTCAAAAGATTTTGGTCCCCATCTAAGTGAGCAGATCTTCACACAAATGCTCTCTACTATGGACTGTAGAGAGGCAAACCTGTGTATATATTTACTTGTTTTGTTGATGTTTTTCATGTATTCTGCTGTTGAGTGAGTATGAGTATGTCTACATTGTCATTTGTGTTTTTGCTATTAAAGACTGATGTTCTCTGATTATGTTTAAACAGTCCAAAGTCTTGAATAAATTATTAAAAGACCAAAGTTGTGCGCGGAGTATTTTGATAAATTCACACTGTTGCTTTGCTGTTATCCATGAAAATCAAGTACACAGTACTGTTAAAGTCTGGAGTTACACCTCATTGCTTTATACTTTGTTAGGTGCTAGTTTGCTAGTCATATCTTAAGGCTATCACGGCCTAGAATAAGTGAGGATCTACACAGACATAAGTGTTATTTATAGAAACATATGCAAACATAAATAGAAATATAGAGTATAAGGCAATTCTAACAAGTCAATATTTGATATGACCACCTTTATTCTTCAACACAGCCTGAACTTTCAAGGCTAAGTAGTCTTCAGGAATGGTTCTCCAGGCTTCTTGAATGACATTCAAACCTCTTCCTTATATGTTGGCTGCTTTTTATTCGGATATCTGTCAACATGATCCCACACTGCTTCAATAATATAAAGATACAGGTCTGGGGAAGCCAATTCGTGTTCCACTGTGTGTTTTTTCTGTTTATGTAAGCTTTTATTATACTGGCAGTGTGTTTGGGATCATTGTCCTTCTGAAAAGTTGTTGCCAATGAGATGGTTTACAGATGATGTTGCATGTTGGATCAAAACAGTAGTACTTTGCTCATCATAATTTCGTCGGTTTTGAAAAGCTCCAACACCACAGGCTGAAATGCTGCTCCAACCACGACAGAGTGGCTGTGGACCCCACTTGTACCTCTCTCTTGACCTCCTCTGTATGTATTGATGACAATTTCAGTAAAACATGACAAATTTGGATTCGTGACTCCATAAGAACTGTTACCACTGATTTTCAGTCCAGTTCTTGTGTATTTTGGCATACCTCAGTCTATTCTCCCAGTTTTCTTTCTTTAACAATGGCTTTTTGACAGCCACGCGTCAGATGACACATTTCTGATCAAGTCTGATCTTTTGGTCCCGTTTCAGGTCTTTGTTGGATTTGTTCATGGACACGACTTTCAGATACTGTTCACTTGCTGTAAATAGCCTTTAGGCCTGCCACTTCTTTTGTCCTCTGTGGGGTTTTTTTAGATTGAAATAAAGAAATATGACAAAATAATGTTTTCATGAAAATCTGATATTAACAGGGTGTCCAAAGACATGATTTCAAACTGACTCTTTGCTGTGTTTAATGTCACATGTGACACAACAGTGAGCTTTCTTATCAGTGTTAAAAACATTAATGTGAAAATGCTCAGGTACAAGGACTGGACTGAAAATGAGTGAAAAAGCAGCCAATGTCCAAAGAAAAACCCATCAGAAAGCCTGAAGATGTATTGCTGTCTCCTTGGAAGCAAAATATGAAGAAATGGGAGATGGCTCAAGGGTTTTGTGCTTTTCCAGCTGGATGGGTCAGATATATGACTATGAGCCTGTCGCCTTGACGGTGATGGTGACGCTGACTGGCTCATTATCATCTCCAGAGGGAGGGGCTTGGCTGGTGGTTGAGGGGGTGGCACTCATAGGTGAAGAAGTGAGGGGTGAAGATGCCCGGGGTAAAGCCATGGCTGGACCTGCAAAACATCAAAGTTCAGCAGATAAGACAGATGTGCATTACTATTTTTAGGCCTGCTGACGGTTGAAACATCTGCTTAGAGATATTTCCGTCACTTCCATGTGGGCCATCAGCAACATCCTATATGGGTCTATATGTGTGTTTATGGGTTTATGGTCACTTAGGGTAGCTCATCTTGCCTAGGCTGGATGATCCACCAATCTCCTCTATTCCTCCCTCTGACGTGCTGACCACTTCATCCTCTGGGAAGTTGATGTTTTCCCTTGACTGGCTGTGCTGCCTGGAAGCAGGAAATGTTAAAACGCCATGCCTGTAGCAATAACTGCAAACAGGAAATCATTAATTCTTGGTTTTATAGACATATATCTAGATACTCACCTGCCAAATAACAAGTCATGTAGTCCTGGTGGAAAGAAGACAACATTAACATCACAGTGATTTTAAACAGATCAGCAGGATATTGGTGCTCATGTGCGGTGGACTCACGAGGGTTGTTGTTGCGGTTGCGGATTATGTACACGAGCAGCAGAATCGTAAGAATGGCTGCAAAGAGCATCCCACCAATAGCCGCTCCAATCACAGCAGGGTACACATTGTAGCGTGGTTCAGCTGCAACACATCATAGTTACAGATTGCAAAAAAGTTCATATCTGTCAGAACACCGCAGCTACATCCAGGAGCTCGAGTGGTTCTCAACCCAGGTCAGTGTATCATGGTCATGATTTGAAAACATCACTTTACTATTATCCTGTAAATAAATGTTGCTTAGGTTCTTCTTTAAAAGGAGCTCTGTTGAACAGAACAACGTGGATTCATTCATTCATTCATACATGGGTTGAAAACCACTGAACCATCCTACCATGTTACAGTTCTAGTCAGATGTTTACATCTACTCATCAGGGGCATGAATCTTATGATAAATTAAGGGTTTTAATGATTTATTTGAACTGTTCTTTTTTCAGGGTGGAAGGATTGTACAGCATACATCTTTAATGACTAAAAAAAAACAAGAATTGGGTGCACAATTTTCTTTTTTTCTGTAATCAACAGAGAATAGAAATTAGCCTGTGTTAGCCTGTTTCATCTGCATTTTCAACCATGTAGCTGCTGATTAATGATGAAAATAAAGAATTTGGAGGTAGTCCTCCTTCTTCACTATTCCACCCACTTTATGAACTTTATATGCCAGTGCCATCGGCAGCAACACAGCCCCACAGTATGATGCTACCACCACCATGCTTGATGTCTGGCACAGTGCTCTTAGCTTTGAAAGTCTCACCTTTACTCCTCCAAACATACCTATTAGTCATTGTGGTCAAATAGTTCACTTTGTGTTGAAAGTGATACTGGTGTTCCAGCAGTTTCTAGTTAATGGGAGGCTTGAGCCTTGTTGGTTGCTGGGTTGTTCCTGAACATCATAACCAATTTCCTCTGATCTGAGGGTGACCGTTTGGGTTTTCTTTGCGTCCTTGGCAAAGTGGAGGCACATCAGAATAACTTGTACTTATACACTCTTGTTTGAACCAATGATCTTAGAATCTGTTTTAGAAATGGCTCTAAGAGACTTTCCGAACTGCAAATCTCTTCACTGAATTTCTTGGACTTTCCTGTTGTTGTGAGTATTAGTCAATCCAGGGAGTGCCCTCAGATGTAATAATTCCTTATTACATCTGTAATAAAGACATATGCTGCACCATCATACAAGCCTATAAAAAGAAAAAATCAAAGAAATTGCTGAAACCCAAAATTACATTCATGCCAATGATGAGTGTATGAAAATCTGACCATAACTGCACAGGTTTCTCTGCAACCTAAATAAAACAAATGGCTTATTCAGAACAGTTTCCTGAAATAATATAATACAAAGTGGCACATTTATCACACAGGATGAATTCGAAGGAAGATCAGGAGGACAGAAAAGAAGAAAGTAACAAGGAAGTGAGGGAAAGGTGTGTAACCATGAGGTATGTGTCGTTGTTTGCATGTGTTTTTGTTTGAGTCTTTCACCTGAGTGGATAACAAAACACAAACAAAAAAAACACCACAGTTAGACACATTAATCATAACACAACATTAAAGATTGTATCTCATAATTAGCAATGCTGCTTGAAAGAATTTTTTATATTCCTGTATAAAAATAACCTGGAGCATCATCTGATTTTAACACGAGTGTAAAAAAGACAACACAGTTAAGCAAATGACACAAAAATATTATCTACCACCTAGGTAGATCCTTTTTAATAAGTCTTTGTTATCCTCCATCGAAGTGGTTGAACATCAAAGCATGTTGTGTAATAAAGCCCTCTTTCACATTCATGAGTAAATAAGCAATCATGGTGTGCTTGGCTGTTCAAAAAGAACTCTGTCCACAGCACATAAGAGTCCTGTTGGTGTAATATTTGGCCCACTGTGTGAGAACAAAATAGATGCTTGGTTTAACTGTATTTTAATTGTATTTTAATTGTAAATTGCGTGTTTGGAGAAAAGAGATCACTTCGTTCCCGCCTGTCAGGAGAAAGTTGGGCGTTGCAGCAAGATGAGGATCCTGTTCGATCACAAATTGATTTAATGCAAATTTTCTTTTAATAGGTAAAGTCAAAGTCCCAACTTTAAGCCAATTTCTTGTATGCCAGACCGATGTTTAAGCTGCAGTTACTTCTGCATAATGTTAGGTCTGTACAGAAAGCAATGTTTCACATACCTTTGTCAGTCACAGTTGGATTGGATCATCTTCCTCAGCAAAGAACTGATCATTAATATGTTTGTATCATTTGTTTAATTGGGGTCTTATCTACTTTTAGAGCTCATCATGATCATGTTTTATGTCATGTTAATGGAGAAGTTTGAAACTGAACACACCTTTCAGAACAGTAAAGTTATTATTACATCTATATATGCATCATCTATATTACATATGATAACATATTATATCTTACATGTTATATTACATCATCTTTGTGATTTTGCCTCTTTTTATTTAAGCTTAACAAGCCGAAAATGCCCATCTCTTTGCTAAAAGTCTCATATGTCTCACATTTCCTGTACCTGGTGTCTTTGCAGCAGAAGGGTGTCCCACAGTGCGGTGGTTCACCGGTATGATGCGAAACTGGTAGGTAACCGTTGGCGTCAGGCTCCCCACTGTATAAATCCTGACAGCTGGATCCTGGAGGATGTTACGGTACCAGTCTACAGGACCAACTTTCTCCTCATTCCCACTTCCTTTCCTTTGTGGTCGCTCAGACATCCATCGGTGCTCCAGGAAGAAACCTGTCCAACCTCCTGCTTCCTGGTTCTCCACCACCCACTCCAGCTCCACCTCATTACGCTGTCGACTGGTGTACATCACTCTGACCAGGGTTGCATTGGGTGGCATGGGGTTCTCTACAGAGATAACACAAACAGAAATATCCCCATCTGTATGACTTCTTTGTGATGACCACTTGTAACTTTTTATATAGCTATATATCGACTTTCATGCTGACTGTAACTTTATGGACAATAATTGTACAAACATCAGAGGTGTTATAGTATTCTGATCTTACACTCAGCAAGAAAGTAATTTAGAATTAAACATAGATTACTAATTCTTACTCTTGATGACTAAAGTGATATTGATTTCGGTTCCTCCCACTGCGTTGGAAGTGGAGCACCTGTACTCGCCGCTGTCTTGAGTTTCATCTGTGTCTCTCACAGTCAGATTGGCCCATGCAGACGTTCTCAGAAGCATGTACTTTGAGGTGTCTTGCACACCGACACCCTGATTATTAAACCAGGTGATTTCATTGACAGGAAGGTAGTTGGCTCTCAGACTGCAGGTAAGCTGAACGTCGCGCCCCTCGTACACAGACACGACTCTGCGCTGTGTCTGCAGCACTGGTGCCTCTACGTGTGACAATGTACAGACTAATTATTTAACAATTTATATCTGCTATTTGTTGTACAGTGAGAATGTGCACTGACCCAGTGTGAGTCTGCAGGTCTTGGTTTCGACCAGAAGTGGGTGTTTAGCGTGGCAGGTGTAAGGTTTCCCACTGCGAGCTGTGCCATAGTGGAGGATCAGGATGTTGAAGGTTTGTTCCCCACCTTTGCTCTGACCTTCGGGGCCCTCCCACCACACCAAAGCTTTCGGGGCCCCTCCCTCCCAGGAGCAGGACAGCATCAAGTACTGTTTGTCTTTAGTCACAGAAGCAAAACACAGTGGCTCTGCAGGGGGAATATCTGATGAAGGAGAGGAGAGATATAAACATGTTCAGATACATGATCACAAAACTGCCACTAACTTATCTTTTACTGTTTGTTGACATTGCTGCACTCACATGTGCGTGTGCTGCACTGTGTCGACTGTTTCAGGGCAGGATGGGAGCCCAGGCAAGTGAAAAAGCTGTTATTAGAAGTCAGGCCTCCAGAGGGCAGCATGATGGTAGTGCTGGAGGCTGAACTTGTTTGCTGGGCTATGTTGGACTGATCTTGTATCAGGTCTCCAGTCCAGTGGAGGGAAGGTGAGGGGATTCCACCAGGCCAGGAGCACAGCAGCCGCAGAGAGGTGTGATTCAGAGTCGGCTCCACAGAACAGGACGGGGAGCCATCAGGGGGGTCTGTGGGGGATATGATAGAGGTAACAAGGTAATGATGTGCCGAGTGGAGTAAACTGACGTCATCAGGGCCCGGAACCTTTTTTCTTTCTTTCTTTCTTTTTTTTTGATTATTGCTACATTGTTAAGGATGTTTGGTTAAAATAACTATACAAAAATTATTGAAGAAGAGATATGTTGTTATGATTTTGCAGTTTTTTTCTTTTGTTGGTGGTGGAGTTCTTCTGAAAATGTAATCTTAGCAAATAGCAAAAACATAAGACATGTGCAAAAACAAAAAAAGGGAGAGTGAATGACATGCTTGCCATAATTGTGACATCACAGTGAGATACCTGCCAGAGAGTCCCATCAACTTCGAAGATGGTCCAAACAGGAGAACAGGTCAGCAAGCTTTCCATTATCTGCTGTGTGTGTGTGTGTGTGTGAGTTGTTTAAGCTTTTGAAATAAGTATATCAGATGAATGTGCTGAATGGAGTCAGAAGACATTCAGAAAAAGAAACTGAAAAGGATTCTGCATTAAGTGAAATGATCAGGGAGATGTTTCTAGGTCAGAGATCCTGTGTGAAAATCAAAGATGTTTAACCTCCTAGGACCTGGCATCCACATATGTGGACATCACATTTTGGGTTGTCTAGACCAAAATACTTAATTTTGCTCTACAAGGGCCTGATATCCACTTATGAGGACATTATACTGCCTCTGTTTTCTTAAAATTAAAAATGAATATCCTCATATGTAGCTCTCTTTTTCTTAGGAACAAAAATCAGGTAAAAAAAAAAATTCTGGTAATTCTTTGTTTATACATTCATCGGGTCCCAATATGCCCAAATATCAAAGAGAAATTAAAAATGCATGCCATGGAAGAGTTTGGGTCTTAGGAGTTTAAGCCGTTGATAGTATTGTACTGAAAATGTCAAATCTGAACAGTTTGATCACATTTGACTCTTTTACACTCCTTGCAGTAACAAGAGAGAACAATAGGCGTTAGGGTAGAGTGCAGGAATTGACAGAGGAGTAAGATGCTTAATAGCATGATCAGAGATCAGAGGTCACACTCACAGTAGACGGTCAGGCTGATGGTTTTTTTGGAGCGGGTGTTAAGGTAGGTATTCAGAGCCAAGCAGGCGTAGTCGCCAGTGTGCATGCGGAGGATCTTGGTGATGGTGAGCTGCGGCCCGCTGTAGACCTGTGAGTTGTTGTAGAACCAGACGTACTGACTGGCTGGATTGGACTGGGCCTGGCACAGCAAAGAAACAGTCTCTCTCTCCAAAGCCGAGTAACCCCGCTCTGTTATACTGTACGGAGTTACGTTTATCTGAGGAATGTCCGGGCCGACTGAGGAGAAAAATCATTGCTGTGAAATTTAATGTGATGGACCTTCTGCTTCATTTAAAAAATTGTCCACAAAAGCTGACTCATAACAAAATGTTTCATCCAAGTTAGTTTAGTTTCACAAGATGACATTTTCTCTGAGAGTGACAAATGCTGATGATGCACAGTTTACCTGTAATTTACTGATTACTCACACAGAAAATGCCAAAGACAAGTTTAAATTAGACAGAAAATATCAAAGTCATACCAATTTCTGTTTCTTTAAGACTGTAACTTAAACCACTGTCTTATTCTTTTTGCTTCTTTTAAAAAAAAAAGTTTTACAAAAATCTCCATATTGATCCAACTTCCTCAACTTACAGATGGTGTCCAGCCACAAGCGGTTGGAGCTTTCACTGTTAACTGCGTTGCTGGCCACACAGCGGTACCAGCCGGTGTGGTTGCGGTTGACGTCGGTCACATTGATAACACTGCTGCCGCCCTGTGCGATGATCGTGATGTTACCACTGCGGGTTTCATGTTGCCACACGTACTGGATCGGTCCAGTCCCATTTTCCAAATTGCAGCGCATCCACATTGTAGATCCTTCCACTGGAGATACTTCACTCAGCGAGAGGTAAGGCTTAGTGACGGGGACTGCATTAGCGACGAAGAAACACAGTGTTCAGTAACTGGAAAGATCATTTTACAAACAGAACAAAGCTGCAAGTTCCCACAAGCAGCAACACTGGAGATTGAACATGAGACCAGTGTCAAAAGGGGCCCTACAAAGGCTAGGTATAATTTGTTTGCTATGGCTAATTTTTTACTTTCTCCTGCCTTTACTTATGCTAATTTCGATTACAAAACAGGAGCTCACCACTGTTAGCATTTAGCATTTTCACTGCAGTCATTTGACAAAATAATGTTTCCTTTTAGGTATTTAATCTAACAGCTTTTCTAGAGTCTGTGCTCCAGTCGAAGTGAATGAATGTTTAGCAATAGTTCTTTCATGTCTACCATATTGCACTTAATGAGCTTCTCAAACATATTTCTTGGCTGGTTGGCGATGTTTCCTGGAGGTTGCTGACTCTCACTTGTGGAATCTGGTTGCAAAGAAAGTGCTACACCAAAACCCTCTGTGTGATTGCTTTGGTTGCTATCAGAGTGCCACAGTTGCTTGTTGTTTTTTGTGTTTGTCTATCTGGTGTGGTTAGTGGTCACCTGTCTGCAAAACCTCAATACAGTTTATGGAGGCACTTGCCAAACAAGCTAGTTTGCATAAGCTGGGCCTCAACCCCCTTATCCTAAAATTCCTATTTTGTGGGCTTGAAAAAACAAGCTCGAAATAATCTGTAGTGCCTGTATTCATCTTTGTATGCAGTCTATGGTCCCTCTATGGCCAACCTTAATACAAAGCTATAATCTCCTGATTATAGGGAATTGTGTTTTAGACTTTTATAATCTAAACTGTCTTTGCCAAATAAAGTAAAGAAGCTTTTTTTTCATAAAGTTTTAAAATGCTCTGTTCAAAAGACCAACAAATAATCAAAAGACAAAGCAGCACATGCTGAACAGTAGAGTTTCTTAGATGATAAAGGACAAAAAAAGAGAGAAATGTCTACAGATTTTTATTTTTCTGCAGTGTTCCATCTCTTCCTCTTTCTCTCCAATGCACATGGCGACAGGGATAGTAATGACTCACTACAGTCATTTGGATACACTGTATAATAATTTAGGATAATACACCCAAGTAAACACAACAAGTCTACTGTCCTATTTTGGAATATATAAGATTGTTGGAGAAATTGGGCAACAAGACTGAATGTCAGTCTCTTGCAGCGCCACTGTTTCAGCTATAAACTGACTAAAGATTTGTAGCATTCGTGACAGCAGGAAGTCTTACCTCGGACAATGAGATGCACGTAGTAGTAGTAGACTTTGGGCTCTTTCTCTATGTCATAGAAAGCCTGGCAGGTGAATAAGCCTTGTGCAGCCAGAGGCAGCTTCTCAATGCTTATAGCTGCACTGTTTGAGATGACAGTCAGCTGTCCCAGCGTCTCAGCCAGCTTCTGAATCTTCGGTCCTCGTCCCACATTATACACCACAGCTTTTATGCCTTCAGTACCAGGCTTGGTGAAGCTCCATATGTACATGTCAGGTACAGAGGGACCACACTCCAGGATCACGGCTTTGCCCACTACCCCATACACACTGGCGTCCTGGTACACCACCTCATACATCTGGGTGTCCTTGTACACAACCTCTCCATTGGGGTTGATCTGCAGGGCTGGAGTTGGGAAAGGATACAAAGATATGAGTGTAAAGGAACAGGAGACGCTGGTGTTGTTTACCTCGTCGGTGTTCGGTCACAGGATTGATTACACAGTGAGTCTCAGAGGCAGTGTAACATTGTTACAAGTGATTCCAGGCATTTCTTTTTCTTAATTTCCACATGCAGGTTCTAAAACAGCTTTTGCTAACATAGCCTTTCTGCTTGTTATCTACAGTGCCCTGTGACCCGTCATTTAAATCAGTAAGAACCAAATAACTGTAGATGCATCAGTGTATTTGCTGCTCACCCCAAATTTGATTACAGAAATGCCAAATATATGTTCTTGGCGAATTTTGAAATGTTATATTGAATACTTTGCATTATTTATACAGTCTACATACTGATATGTGCTTTCAGAAAATGTAAATGTATGACATGCAAGTATTCAAATCCTACATTTTTGCAACAACATTCCAGATCTTGAAGAATTCACTTCTCTTAATTTGCTTTTATAAAGGATGTTTAAAAAGTAGGGGTTTAAATGAATCCACAGACACTGGAAAACTCTTACCGTTTGACCCCAAAGTGACCAGACTGGTAGTTAGATATAGAATGGCCAGTCCTAGCAGTGGAGCCACCATGGTATCATGATGATCCCGAGTCCAACAACCTCTTTACTCCAAAAAAATGTGGAAAAGATCAAAAGGTGAAGCCTAACTGATCATTACAGCCCTCCTTCAGATGCCTGATGTTCCATCTTTCGTACTCTCTGATCTGCAGGTCTTCTTGGAGATTCCAGTGCATTCGACTGAGAGTAGGAAGGGACGGAGGGTCAGTAAACTGATTTAGGCTCAATTATTAATGTGTTTTCCTTTCTCTCTATCCCTCTATCCTTCTTTCTTTCTTCTGCTGGGTTAGAATAACACACTGACACCGAGACCATCTATTATACAAGAAAGCCACATAAGTGGATGGGCTGGCCTTTCACACACACACACACACCTGCACATTAACTAATGCAGTCACAGTTGCAGCTGAATCTGTCATTTGCGGACTTAATACCACAATCCTCTACACTGGAATTTCATACAAATTTCAGATCTCTGGAATGTCATAAACATATATAAAATTTCTCTCTCTATATATGTAAATGTATAAATATATACAAGACAAAAATATATAGGTGGAGAGCTCTGCAAAAACATTTATGCAGTCAGAGTACGATTAAACTGCATTTGTAATGTGCAGTCATCTTGGGTGACTTGTGAGATTAAAGGCTTCAGATTTCAAAGGTTTTATGAGAATCCAAGGAGCAGAGTAAACTCTACCAGTGGGATTAAAATTATTCAGTAAAAGTATTCAGTATTTCACCATCATACTGCCTCACAGCATGCTCTCATTACATGCTAACATTTAAAAATGTAATCTCCACTTTACAGTGGACTGCAAGAATGCACAGTCTGTCCATCGAACACTTTTATTCAGTAATTTTAACAATTTTCAGCATGTGTTTATGTTTATACAAGAGCAGAATAGACTGCTTGGTGGAGCCATGAGTATGTAATGTGAGACGTTTGTCATGAATGAATGCAGGGCGCAGATCAGTTTCCCTCACTTGGCAGACAAACAGAAGGCTGGAATACAGCAGATTACTCCCTTATTTAGCGAAAACTAATCAAATGTTAAAATGCAGCTCTATCCCAGCGTGAGATTTATTGAGGGAAATTAAGGCGTCTATAGTCCCATGCAATTAATTCCTCAAATATCATTATTATTTGTTATTATTATAGATAGTTTTGGTGAGAACTGATGAGATTGAATTTTAGCTCTCAATACTGACTGACTGGTTCTCAGGCACAGAAATGTGCCGTTCAGAATCATAATTTCTCAAATCAGATGCAGCCTTTCACTACAACAATTTGGCTAAGAGCTCTTTTCTATTTGTTGGCTTGTTTTGTTTTTGTATTATATTTAGCATATAGACAAGAAAAGTTGGGACAGTGTCATGTTTACCACTGTGTAGCATCCCCTCTTCTTCTGACAACAGTCTGTAAACACCTGGGAGCTGAGGAGAGCAGCTGCTGGAGTTTTGTGGATATAGCTGCTTGATGATACTTCAAATGTTTTCACATCTAGACGTTTCTACTTACAAAGACATGTTGCTGCAGTAGATGCAGTATGCGGTTTGTCATTGTTTTATTGAAATATTCGGGCCTTCCCTGAAAAAGATGTCACCTGGATGGAACATATGTTGCTCTAAACCCTGTATACACCTCTCAGAATTGATGGTACTTTTTCAGCAGCCAAGTTTGTAGACACCATGCCATCAGAGACGCAGGCTTTTCAGCTGAGTCAGTGGTCAGTGACTTTATTGTCCCCAGTGGGAAATTGATTTGCAGCATGTCCACACATCAAACAACAAATACATTTTTTTAAAGAAGAAAAGAAGATAAGCACTGAAAAAAGATGGTTCCTTTTCTCTTTGGTCCAAGGAAAAGGTGCCCATGTTTTCCCAAAAAGAATTTCAATTTTGATCCACATACATGTTCATAAACAAATTATACAGTGTCTAATTGGTTGTAATCTTTCTGTTACCTATAATTTATGGTGGCTTCCAATCGGTTTGCTTTGTCTTTTTTTAGCACTCTAAACACAGAATTCAGCATTTTGAAAGATGTTACATGATTTATGTATAGAGTCATTCAAGATGTTCTTGCCTCCATGTTGTCCAGTCATCCCCAGTAATGAACACCTTTTGATACAGCTATAAAAGATATTGTGTGTAAAGCTTCAGTCTTGACCAAATATGACCAAATTTGTGTAGAATGATACGAAACGGGTAGTAAGTCTCAATAAAAAAAATGCTGTTTTTTTTTATGTATGTGGACTACAAACACTTAATCTTCTTTGACCATCTCCAGTAACATCACCTGATATCTACAATGTTCTCTTTGCTACTGTAGTGTGCAGTGTGACTATGCCGAGATCTGTAAGGCATCAGAATAAAGGCTTAAAAAAGAGGTTTTAAAAAGATTTTTTTTAGATCAATCATTTTACTTTAGGGGAAATCACTGAAATCATCTAAAATTGGCCTAAATTTCAAACTACTGTCAGCGAGTCCAGCACTGGCCATCCTATCCAAATCACCCTAACATCAGTTGATGCAGAAAACATCTACAAGAACTCCAAAAGTGAATCACAGAATTTTTTCAGGTAATTAGAAGCTATTGGTGTAAAAATGCACATATCCACTGATCTGAATGAGAGATGTGCCTTATAAAGTGACATTTTCTAGTGTCTGAAACTAGGATTTCTTTCACAAATACACATTCACACTTGAATAGACACACTGGGGGCAACTCAAGGATGCTTCAACATGCAGACTGGAGGAGTTGTTTCTAATTGGTCGATGAACCACACTATGTCCTGAGTGGTGACGCTGAATTGGATAAGCAGAAGATGGATGGATGGATGGATGGACTCACCCTGTGGTTCAATTCTGAATATATGAATTTAAAAATATATATTTATTTGCCCCAACTACAGTATTGTTGCTGTCAGTCACATTTCACACCTTGTTTCATCACTGTGGATTGATTGATTTCACCTTATTAGAAAAAAAGGATCTGGCACTTTGATACAAACTCCATCCATCCATCCATCCATC